AATCGAACCGGGGGTAAGATAATTTGAGCTTCAAGGGAGACAACAAAAAACACACACAACTCGCGATACGAATCAACTCGAGGCGAGGTTATTACAAGCACAAATACATAGTAGTAGTTCAAATTCCTAACCTTCGATGGGTTGCCTCCAACAAGCGCTTCTTTAACGTCTTAATCTTGACGGTTGGAGATCAATCACGACTTCAAACGTGATGCTAGAGAGCGGATCCACCACACTCTCTGGGCGAGGCTTGTAGCCTCCCATCTTAGCTCGTTGAGTTGGCCCTCTTGGTTGGCCAACATTGTTTCGGCCTCCCCCGTCTTCCGGGTCAAACCTCCTTCATCCTTCATCTCCAAGAATTCAATCTTGGTCCTTTGGGCTTAGGACTCTTCTTAACTTCCTGCTCAACATCATCAAAGACATCACAAGTAACGGTGGGGTTTTCCTTGAGAGGCTTTCCTCCACTATCATTCACATCATTGGAAACTACCCCTTCACTTCATCACTCCTCACACTAGGATCAATTTCAAGCTTGATTCTCTCCTTACCATCCCTCAAAATTAGTTTCCTTCATTAACGTCTATCAATGCCTTGGCGGTTGCAAGAAAGGGACGACCGAGGATGAGGGGCATATCCGAGTCCTACTTATGCCGACAATCACGAAATCGGTCGGATAGCAAAACGTGCCCACTCTCACCATCATGTCCTCCACTATACCTCGCGAGCTAATGACCGACGACGGTCGGGTAAGGTGATGCTAAGCTTAGAGGTCTTAAGTTCACCTACTTCTAACTTTTGAAAAGCTTGTAGGGCATCACATTCACACTAGCTCATAGGTCCGCCAAGGCATTGTCTATATGGTGATCACCAATATCAAGAGGATAGTAAAGCTACCTGGGTCGGACCGCTTTTTGGGCAAGCGATCGAGGAGGAAAGCCGAGCACTCCTCGCCAAGAGTCACGTTGGCGAGGCCTTCAAGCCTTGGCTTCTTAATGAGGATCCTTTGAGGTACTTGGCATTATCTTGGCATTTGCGCCATGGCTTCGAGGAACGGGATGTTTAGGTGGAGATTGCGTAGCATTTACATGAACCCTCCACACTCCTTGTCCAACCTCTCCTTTTATATTATTGTGGGCTAAGGAAGAGGTGGCACATATCCATCCTCCGTCAATGCTTTCCTTGCCGCCTTCCTCTCATTCCTCGTGGGATTCTTCTCTCCCTTTTTCGGGTACGTTTCTTCCATGTTAGAATCCTCATTCTCACCACTTCATTAGTGGCAACTTTCGGAACCACCTTCACACTTCTCACTTGAAAGTGCATTCACCCCAGCTTGATTGGGATTCGCCCGGTTTGGGAAGGCAAGGCTCCTTGGTCTCTCAGTGAGGAAAACCGGCAACGTTGCCGATTTGCACTTCCAAGCTTTGAAGGCTCACTTGATGGCTTCGAAGACCCGCCTCAACTGAGGTAAACTTTGTGGTCGCCACATCCATAAATTGCTTATCTTCTCAAACTTTTGGCTACTCGTACTCACAAAGGTGTTCACTAGGTCCTCAAGCTTGGATAACTTGTCGGGTTTAAGTTGTTGTTGAAACCCTAGGTCACCTTGTGGTTGGTACGGTTGTTGAAAGTTGAGCCTTGGAGTTGGAGCCTTTGTTGGATGAAGGTTGGCCGAGGTTGGAAGTTCCCCGTGGGGCCTTGAAACCCGGGGGCCTTGATTAGCCGGTGATGCCCAAGCAAAGTTGGGGTGGTTCCTCCATACGGGTTTCTAAGTATTGCTATAGGGTTGTTGACCCTAGCATTTGACATAAAGTTGACTTGCTCCTCCGCAGTGGTTGCCTCCTTCATGTTTGGCACTCCGTCATCTCGTGGCTATACTCGAGCACAGTCGCACGACATTACCGCCCGTTTTCCTTGCCCTTTATCATCAAGCATAACCTCAAGAAACTTATCCAACTTTGCCTCAAGCGGAGCACTCTCTCCCATGCTTCTCACTCCCCTTTCATGGCTTCTTCTTCCACTTCTAGTGAACCCCCAATCATACCCCTTAAGGGCCATGTCTTCTTGGATCTCGGTTATTTGGGGTGGATCCATATTCATCAACTTCGCCTGACACAAGGAGTCAATGATGATCTTATCTTCTTGCATTAGGCCTCTGTAGAAGGTTTCAATCCGAACTGTTCTTCAAACCCGTGGTGAGGGCCTTGAAGAAAGTCCACCGGAGTACCTCTCCCAAGCATCCCTCATGGTTTCATCCTTTCTTGCTCGAAATGTGTAATCTTCTTTCTCCACTATGCCGTCTTTGAAGGAGGGCAATAACAAGCCATAAACTTGTTGAGGAGGTCATCCATTAGGTGATAGACCGAGGTGGGCGGTTGTTTTAGCCACCTAAGTGCCTTCCGAGAGTGAGTATGGGAAAATCCTTAGTTGCAAAACTTCGGCCGGAACACACATTAATTTTCAAGCTCCCCGTGAGATCCAATAATCTCTGCACGTGCTCTCTTGGTGACTCGCTTTCATGGCCATGGAAGAGAGCATTACTTTGTATCGTAGTCACTAGAGCCGGCTTGATCTTGAAATTGTTTGCCGCCACCGGAGGATGTCGGATCAGTGATTGAATGTCCACCGTCCTTGGGGCCATATAGTAACCCCACTGTCCTCGGGGCTCCTTCTTATTCCACCGCCTCATTCATATGGTGGGCTTGAGCGCCTCCTTCTTGCTTTTGGTTCCTCGCCATTTCATCTTCAACGACGGGTTCAACTTCGAATTCTTCAACTCCTTCTCCACTAACACCGGGACTTGTTGTCCCCCTTTTTCACTCCTTCTCCTTGCCTTGCTAGCTCTCTATCCCTTGCTAGGAGTCGGAGAGTTTGGTTTATGTCCTCTTCAAGTGGTAGCAAGGGAGCCGGGTTGCTCCAGGTCATGCACCTCCTACACACAATCGGAAAACACCAAGTCTAGCACAAGCAAAGAACACACACACACACTTGCAAAACAGGAAATTAAAAGCTAGATTAACAACCAACAATTTTTCAGAATAACATACCATTGTCCCTGGAAACGGCGCCAAAAACTTGACCCGCACGAAACTACACCACAATTAACCCCAATTAGGCCTTAGTTTTTAAACTCTATTCGGGTGCAGTATAGGGAAAGTATTTAGATATCGACCCGGGCCGGTCCGTCTATCCCTGCTTCCATTGTTGAAATCATTATCTAGCAACTAAACTTTAGTTTAAAAGGTTGCTAATTGAAGTAAAAGAAAACAAAGGGATTAGGTTTGAAACTCCTTTTGGGAAAGTCACTCGGGTTTCGCTTCCCCCTAACCGCTACCATGTTATGTGGATCGTGAACCACAGAGAAATGCATATGTGGTCGGAGAACATAGTCTCAATTGATGAAACCGAGGTGAGGATGAAAGGCCGTGTCACTCGACGCTCTCTGTTTAGACAATCGGTAATTGACTTACTCCCACGCTCAACTCTAAGGTCGGACGGTTTATCCACGATTATCGACTTGTTTAATTCAATATTGAGGGTTGCCCTAACTCAACCAAGTTTAGCTGGCTTAGAAAGCGGAAGGAAAAGCAACTCGATTGAGTCTCCCTTGAAAGGGGGATTTTCCTCTCTAAACTAGGCTAAGGTGGCAAATTAGACTACTAGCACCTAAATGCACAAACTTAGGGGCGCTAAGCACAATTATGCACAATCCCTAGGATGCTAAGCAGAAAACATGCACAACCCCTAAGTTTCTAAGCACAAGCATGCACAATCATGGTGAATAATGCCTAACATTGAATTGATCAATACACAATAACATCATCCAAACCACATACAAGAAAACTACATGGTAGAGTTAGGGTTCACTACACCCAAGTGCAAGGAGGTCTACTCCATGGTAGAAGTGGTAAGATCAAAATGAAAAAAAGGTGGAAACCATCTTTGGGGATGCCACCTATCTTCTTGACCCTTGAGTTGAGCTTTCCTTGGGGAAATCTTCCCAACAATCGCCTTGAAGACAAACCCTAACCTTTCTTCTTCCCTTGGTTCTGTTTCTCTCACTAGAATGCTGAAGAAGGTGTTTCTCACAAAATTGGGCTCTCCTCCTCTCTCTCCTCCTCTTTAGTTCGGCTTTTAAACCCGAGAAGAACTGAGTTCACGATCGTGAACCATCAAACGCATCCGTGAACTCAAGTAGTGCGCCAAAACGCTCCGCATCGCTCACGTCCGTTCACGGGGAACTGCTTGTGTTCACGGTCTTAGTGACCGTGAACTCACCTTGCTTCAGTAACCTTCACATTTGCTCTGGACTCCTCGGGATACACGGTCAACTCCCCTTCTTCACGGTCTTGCATGACCGTGAACTCCTTCAGTTAACCGTGAACTGGCGCTTTTTCACCTCTTCTCCCGGTTTTTTTATTCTTTTTGCCAATCTTTCGACTTCGAGGCTGGTTTCACCTATTAAATCATGAAACACACTCAAACACGAAGAACCTAGCGTAAAACCGACCTTTAAGGAGCAAATTTGGCACAAACATCTAAGTAAAACGGGACAAAACATGTTCAATTAGGCCCAAATCAAATATGGTTGAAGAGATACTTAACGGAATGACCATATTAGTCGATATTGTATCTAAGCGCTTTGGGTCCCCATTAGTTTGAGGATACTTTCACGAAAAAAACAAATTCTTGCATTTCATCTACTTATCAACTTCATGATAACTAAACTTTTATATGAGGGTGGTTTGTACGTGGAATTTTGGTGTCGGAATTGCGTATAAACCCCATAAGACCATTTGCGTATCAAATGGTTGGCATTTTGGCATTTTAAAAGTGGATTTGCTCCAACAAGCAATGTCAAATCTTCTCTT